GCAATGAAACAACTTTTATTCGTAAAGTATATGTCTCGAAAATAAAACAAGTATTATTTAGCAAAATGTCAGAATATAATCTTGATCAAGTAGTTACATTTATTTATATAAAAAGGACTTCTTATTCATTCAGATTATGTTTCACCTTAAACTCCTCAAATAAAGAGGAATCACATGTGCAATAATTTTATAATGTGTCCTAAGTTCAAAATAATAATAGTTGATCTATATCATGTTGATTGAACAAGCTCTATTGAGTTCCTAAGTCGTATGCTAAAAGTTTTTCTTTCATATTGGAGTTATCTTCAACGATTATAAATCAAAATTTTCAAAATGACCTAAGTATGATTATTGACAAACTTCGACTTCATACCCTAGGATGAGACACAAGATTCCTTGAAAGATAACATATGTGAAGGTTAGAGAAATCTTTGTTGAGAATCTACGATAAACATCACGTTTCATCAACTACTAACCTAGACATTTACCAAATAAAAGTTGGCAATTTTTAGTAAGATAGTCAATTGGACCTAAAATCTCAATCCCTTTCGGGGGCTAAATACCTCTGATAACAACCATAGGTGCCAAAGAAGAACGAAAAGAAGCCCAAAAATAGCACAAAAGAACATAAACTCTAATGGTTGCCTGACGTTATGGGGGTAAAAGCGATATCTCTATCACGAGAGTGGGGGATAGGCAATTAGCACTCTTAATACGAGTATTATGCGAGATAAGATAGATATGACGAAATATCTGGATAATTTTGAGTCTACTATATATATATATGGTGTCTTCTACGGTACCCCGCGTGAAATCCGGGGTACCGCATACCTTGAGTATGAAAACGCTATCTAGACCTCGAATTAACAGGATTTTTGAGCATGATATTATACCCTAACCCTTAATGAGTGAGCACTAGGTCCTAATTATCTAAATCATAAACTATAAATCCTAAGATGGTGCATTGATTTTTTTTCCTATATTTGGACGAATCATAACCGTCGATTATTGTTTATAATTAAATTGATCTTTGGGTATAAGATTTAGAGAATTAAGACCTAGATTTTGATCTTTAAGGGTTAGAGTATAGTATCATGTCCAAAAGATCAGTCAATTCAAGTTCTGGATAGCGTTTTCTTACTCAAGGTATGCGGTACCCCGGATTTCACTCTGGGTACCGTAGAACTCCCCATATATATAAATTTGGACGAATCATAACCGTCGATTATTGTTTATAATTAAATTGATCTTTGGGTATAAGATTTAGAGAATTAAGACCTAGATTTTGATCTTTAAGGGTTAGAGTATAGTATCATGTCCGAAAGATCAGTCAATTCAAGTTCTGAATAGAGTTTTCTTACTCAAGGTATGCGGTACCCCGGATTTCACCCTAGGTATCGTAGAACTCCCCACATATTATATATATGGGGAGTTCTATGGTACCCAGAGTGAAATCCGGGGGTACCGCATACCTTGAGTAAGAAAACGCTATCCAGAACTTGAATTGACCTATCTTTCGGACATGATACTATATTCTAACCCTTAAAGATCCAAATTTAGGTCTTAATTCTCTAAATCTTATACCCCAAGATCAATTTAATTAGAAACAATAATCGACGGTTTAATATAGGCAAAAAAATCAATGCACCATCTTAGGGTTTATAGCTTATAATTTAGATAATTAGGACCTAGGGTTCACTCATTAAGGGTTAGGGTATAGTATCATGCCCAAAAATCCTGCTAATTCGAGGTCTAAATAGCGTTTTCCACTCAAGGTATGCGGTACCCAGGATTTCACCCGGGGTACCGTAGAAGGCACCATATATATATATATATATATATATATGTGGTGACTACTTCGGTGCACTCACAAAAATGAGTGCGTTCAATGCACCCAACTCAAAAAATAGTCTTAAAGTGTCGAATTTTGAATTTTAATTTGTAGAATTAGTGTAATATGATGATATAACATATGATAACAACTAATTAGCTGATTACCCTAAGCCCTAGACCTCCAATTTTGTGTTCTATCCCTAAACCCTAAATCATAATCCCTAACCCTAACCCTAAATCTCTAAACCATAAATCCTTCAAATTAACGTAAATCTTTAATGGTTTTTGTGAAAATTCATGTGCTTTATTGTTCATCACATCATAAGTGATGATTGACATCATTTTGACATAAATCGCATGTTTAAAATGACGGTTATGAAGTGAGTGCACTGAATGCACCCAAAAAAGTGAGTGCACCGAAGACGCCACCATATATATATATATATATATATATAATATCAAGTATACTATACTTTTGATTTTACTTAAGGTACGATAGAAGATAGGTATGACGAATTATGTGCATAAATTAGAGGTTAGTGAATTATGGACTGGAGTTCACCAGGTTATGGTATAATATCATGCCCCCAAAAAACTTCGGTTAATTCGGGGTGTAAAAAGAAAATCTCAACAGTCGTATGGTAGTGTGAATGCAAGAGTATAGCGTACTCCTGCCGCACGCTAGCTTGAACTATATAGATATGTGTGTGTGTGTGGTTCGGGTTGGCGCACACCAAATATTAGTGTTTTGGTTGATAAATTTTTAAATAAATTCTAAATGGGACGTGACAGCGCCATAATTTATGTTAAAAAAACCAAAGTATCACAAGTGAGTGTGCTAAATATTGTAAATTTTCAATATAGACATACTAAAAACTCTGTTATGAATAAGAACACAAAATAATTAGAAGATGTAAAAAGATTTAATCATATAAATAAGTTAATTAATATAAATTATAAAATAAATCTCTCCGGCCAACGGGCCGGGTAAGAAACTAGTAATGATTAAGACTTTACAAAAAGCTTATGGAGGGATTGTTCTTGCTCATTTATCACATAAACAAACGTGCGACTTATGTCATTCATTATGATTAAATATTGTACTTCATCATCTCCCTTCATCCCTTACCAACTATGACCCACAGAATTTTGTGGCTAGATTTGCTGTGACATACTTAAATAATAAGTCCGTGGAGAATCGAGATTGTTGTATTATGCCCACTTTGCTTTTTCACTAGGGATATATATAATGAATTTCCCAAATCCATTAGCTAGGCCTCCAAGAATTACAGCGCATCTTGTTTGTTGAAAGTTGAAACTGCTACCAAAGTTAAACGGAATAATATTAATTGAGGAAAACGATCGCGTGCCGACACTATCACGACAAAAAGATCCGGCCGATTATGCTGCTTATTTTACATATTCGGTCATTGTAAATACATGTACTTCAAGAGGACAGGATGGGGAGAAGTACTTTTAGTGATTTTTAGTCAGATTAATACTTCCACAGTTTCACAGTATCCTTATGTATGATTTTATAGTACGTACCACAATAATTTTGAAGGTACGTACGCCTATATCGATCTGTGCCGTACTTTAGCTAACGAGTTAAGTATCCCGATCGACTAGGAAGTACATTCGCAACAAGAAACTCAAACGAATTGACAAAGGTTTGCACAAACAATGGAGCATGTGGTTTAAGTTATTGTGATTCGAAGAAAATGATCACCGTTTCTAATAATCCGTAAACTGCTTTTAGGAACATGTCGACTGGATCAGAAAATCGGTCTACCGCTTCAATAAGTGGTCGACCAGATGACACAATTACCTTTAACTTACACCTGCTTTTTGGAAACGGTAAGCCGCTTCCGGCAAACGATCGACTAGGTGACACAACTACCTTCTATTTACATTACGAAAATAATGGACGATAGGAGGCCTACAACAATTTTTTTTTGTCAGTAGTAATACAACATCCTGTCATCCGTGGACAACCAAATCTCGATCTACAAAGATATTGGCGTATACAATAAGAAATAACACCATATTTTTAACACTTGTGGAATAAGAACGTAACCCACAAAGCAAAATGATAGGAGATTTATGAAAGTTGAATATGACACAACTGTATGACAATTGTACTTACTTTTTAAGTATCTTTTTTTTTTGAGGGAATACTTTTTAAGTATCTTAATAAAAACAATAGCAACAAAAATGTTCTTATCACAAGATAACAATAGGATAAAAAGCAAGTAAGCAAACTTATAATTTGAACGAAATATGAAAATCTCAACAGAGTACATCATACAGTTTTCGAAAAAGAAGTAAGTCATATTTAAAAAATAAATGTACAAAATATTTTCCAAATCTAAAGAAGAACAATCACCCAATAAACTTCTCATCTACTATTCAAACTTTATACTAATATATTTCAAACTCTGTAGATGATTTACATACCTACCAATCGACTTTTACTCGTAGTTATCTTGGATTAAGTGGCGAGATCTATATGTTTTTCAAAGTAGAGATTAACCAATGGAATTGGAGAAGACCTAAAAAACAAATCTAACTAGTTCTTTGTTTGGTACGAAATCACTAAAGCATAACACTAGCTAGTTTGAACGCGGGACAAAGAGGCATATGGCAAAATACGGGTTGTTTGGATGAGGAATTGTAACGGATCAATTTGACACAATTGTCTCGTTTTGAGACAATTGTACCAAATTGCCTCGTTTGCCAGCAAAAAATTTGGATGGATCAATCTGCCTGAGGTATTTTGAATTGATCCGTTTTGAGTCAATTTCAATTACCTGGGATGAGGATAGGTAATTCGAATTGACACGTTTTAATTGTCTCGTTTATAAAACGAGACAATTGATCAAATTGACTCATTTCTAAATTGATCCGTCCAAACACCCCTAAATAGTTACAAAGATGTGAACCAAATATCCTTTACCAGAGAATAGATATCTATCGACTAGCAGTATCACTTTCACGTGCATGACTCCACTCATGCATCAAAGTCAAATTTTCCAACTCGATGGACCCCACGTCGCAACCGAGTAGAGATAAAGGTGTACAAAAAGCCAAATTAGCGTGACGTCGGCGGTGACGTTGGAGGTCTTCTCAAAGTCTATAAATCAGAACCCAAATCCATGCAAAGCTTCATCACCACCACCACACTACTCAAACACTCCAACAATGTCTTGCAAATACTTGACAGTTTTCCTACTCCTCGGAGTCGCCATCCTCCTCTCTGCGGCAACTCCCTCGGTCGCCGACCACGACCACGAGCTCGACAGGTTCGGGAGAAACAAGCCTCACAAGTCCCATCACGGCAAGGGACATGGGCCGGGACACGGACATGGTCACCTCCTGTTAGAGGAAGAGGAGGACAGCAATGTTGTTGAGGCGGGAGAGGATCACCGTGGAGGCCGCGGTAAGGGGGAGAAGCCCTCGCCGGAGCACAAGCCACGCCACGAGCACAACCACCCCCGTCCGCCTAAGGAGGGAGGGAAGCACCACCACCCCGGAGGAGGAATGAGGCGGTTGTTCGCGGCGGCGGAGGAGGAGGAGGTTGTGGCTGGGGAGGATCACTACTCCGGCAGAGGACGCGGCAAGGGTGAGAAGGGGTCCGGCCGTCATCATCACGATCATGAGAAGCCCAAACACGAGAAGCCGCGTCACCGCAAGTTCCCTCCTCCGTCTGCTAACTAATTAAGAAGTCGGTAATGTGTGGTACGTACTAGCAAAATAAAGACATGGTGCAGTAGTACTGCTACCGTAGGTCGTATGTTGAATGTTGCGCCTGCGTTTATCCTTTACCTAATGTAGTCGTTTGTAATGTGATAGTTTGGAGCTCTTTGCTTTTTGCCTCGTAGCCGTTGGCTTGTTACAGCCCTACTTATATAGGCGGCTTGTACGTACCTTTATAATATTTTGTCGATGAAATATTTATTGTAGTACCATAAAAATACTATTTCCCCCACGATGACAAACCGATTACTTTGGGTGACACCAGTAAGTGCATGCATAGAGTTTGGTCTCGTTTGGACGGAGTATTTGTGTGAGTTATTTGTGTCCAAATAACTCATAACACAAATAACTCGTTTGATAACATTTTACGGAAATGGGTTATTTGGGCAATGAGTTATTTGAAATAACTCATACCCCTTTGTTATTTCGAAATATAAATTATTTTACCACTCTATTTTTGCAAATACTACATCCACATGCCAAATACCACATTTGCATGGTTCTACCAAACGAGATAACTTTAATCCAATTACCATTGAAATACTACATGGACAATTAATGAGTTATTTAACTCTACAAATACCACATTAACAATTAATCCATCCAAACGACCCCTCTTAATTTTGATTAGGTATGAGGGACCAATTTGGTTGCAAATTCTTATAATTACTTGATTTATTATTATTCTTCTTCATCTCCTTAAATGCCTACCAACAATGACTAGGGGTGGCTATTTGGTCCGGGCTTTTTGGTTTTACCCAAAACCGGATCGAGATTTGAGGTAAAAAATTGTTCGGGACCGGACCGAAAACTGGAGAAAGATCGGATAAGGGAGCCCATCACCCAAAATTTAACCAACTCCTCACTCTTTGAGGCCTCAGGCCACTCAAATCCCCACAAGGTCAATCTAAAATCAAGATCGAATTGGAACCGGATCGGGTCAAGACCGGACTGTATCCAATCCAATGTTTGGTCCTTATATTCCTAAAATGACCTGACCGGGATCGAATCAATATGGACCAATTTAACCAGACCGGACCGTATACCACCCCTACCAATGACGTATCTAGAAATCCACTAAGGTAGTTTCGATACCGAAAACTTAAGATAAGTTTCTAAAAGTTTCTAAAATACATTCCTTAAAGAACTGTGAGGGATGTCATCCTCAAAATACCACCCCAAAAAATTCATTTACGGTTTCATCACTCATATGATTCTGAAGTATTTCTTTACGTTGTTCATTGTAGTAAGTAGGGGTGGCTATTTGGTCTGAGCTTTATGGTTTTACACAAAATCAGATCGTGTAACCCGGACCGTGACCCGATAGCAAACAATTAAATTCCATCTTCGGGCTTAGATTTGAGGTAAAAATTATTCAGGACCGGACCAAAAACCGGATAAAGACCGGATAGGAGAGCCCAACACCCAAAACTGAACCAACTCCTCACTCTTTGAGGCCTCAGGCCACTCAAATACCAACAAGCTCAATCTAAAATCAAGAACGAATTGGGACCGAACCGGAACAAGACCGGACCAGATCAAGACCGGACCGGATCAAGACTGGACTGTATCCAATCCAATTTGGACCAATTTAACCGGACCGCACTGTATAGCCTCCTCCTCTTCCAACACTTGTAATGAGAACTAATAACAACAAAGTCAATAATTTTAAATTTTTATTCATTTTAAACTCAAATTCAAATGTATTCATTAGAAATTAAATAAATATTGCAACATTATTTTTTCGTAAAACGGTTTACAATAATAAAACAATTTGTGTTCAATCCATAATCACTTTTGGGTCTAATTCAGCTGTAGAAGACCTCACTCCCTCATTCCGCCACCGTAACCAACTATGACCCACAAAACTTTTGGGGAAAATCACCGAATACGGTAGTTATTAAAAAAATTATCAAAATAGGTTAGTTATAAAAATAATTCCCAAAGTACGTATGTTTTCACATCATTGCAATAGACAAAGATGGTGATAAAGATCACCGCAGTATATGATGACAATGAACTAATCACCATTTTGGTTAAACACAGTTAATTAATCGCTACAACGCCTAATGACGGTTAACCAATCACCGCTCTGGACTATGACAGTGAATACATTCACCGCAGTGGTCCACAATGGTGATACTTTAAACCCTCCACGTCATCTATCCGCGCCCTCGCACCCATTCAAGTTTCAACGCAACCGTAGGATGCAGTGAGACGCAGATTATTGTTTAGTTCGAATAAGATTAGTATAGTATAATTAGTACTTGAAGCTACACAAAACCATATAGTTAAGCCTCCACGTCATTTATCCACGCGGATGTTATCTTTTACGTGCTAGCTAACACGTCACACATAAAATTTTCAATGGCAGTAGTTAAGCCTCGAAGAATTACAGCATCTTGTCTGTTGAATGTTGAAATTCCTACCAAAGTTAAAGTTGAACGGGTTAAATTATGATCGAGGGAAAAGTTCGTGTGCCGACACTATCACGACAAAATGATCTGATCAATTAATGTGCTAACTTTACATATATGGTACCGCAGAAAATTTGCTACCACATAGCTTTACTGAAAAATATTATTTATGATTTTATTGGATTTAAGAGTCTACGATATTATATTCTAAATTTTAATGAATAAAGGCTACATTTTAGTTTTCTAAAAATTGGGGGAAATCCCAAGTTGATGGGTTGAATGTATTTAGATGAATCAGAATCATCATTCATTACTTCTAATTCTGTTGATTTTATGATTTAGTGTTTATAAAATTAGTGTCAATGATTTATTCATCAGTCTTTCGAGCATAATATTATACTGAGCCGTTAAAGTTCTAGATAGTAAGGCTGGGAATGCAAATCAAACCGTATGAGAAACAATGGTTTATACAGTACCACATAATTTGGTATGGATCGTGAGCCAGAATCACAGTCTGGTATGATTTATGGTTTCCTCCTTTAGTGTGTGGTCTGAAGCGGTCTAGAATGCGATAAATCGCGGTTAACCTTGATAGACCGTGATCCACTATCCATTAATCCAAACCAAAATAACATGAAACCTCCATTATTGCATTTTGAAGAAAAAATCGCAAGTCTGATCAATCCAACCGTGGCGAGCAAAAACAAGTTCTTCCTATTATAGATTTCAGTACATGCACATCAAATTTATTGATTCTTCATACAATTGAAAACCAACAGACTGCTCATGTGATTGAAAACCAACAGGCTGCTCATGTGATCTCTTATGCGTTATCTCCTAATAAAAGAACCACATAACAACAAGAAATTATGGAAAAATAATCTCCACTAGACAGACTTCATATTCGACAATATAGACATACACAACAAATTTTATTTGCCTTCCGCGTGAGATAAGATGAATTTTGGCAAGTGAAATGGCTAGCTTAGTGGTTCAAAATGGTTTCTACGTTTTCGAAGTGCAGATCTAGCGCGACAACCTTTCGGACCATCTGGGAGAGGGAGTGAAGCGACATCTCAAAGAAGGAGAGAGACAAAGCTATTTGTTGAACGTGGTCTGGTATGGACCATACAATATATGGTCTGATCCATGATCTGTGTTCTACCCCCTCAGTCTAGACCGCATAACGTATATATGGTCCCACTGTTTTTGTTGATGTGACTTGAATCGAACTATCAGCCGCTACGACTGGTACTCGTGGGTCTCGCGGTGTATGGGCTCAATGTTATTTGTGTTCGGGTTCTGGGCCTGGTTTATAACGGTTACCTTTGCCAGATTGGATTAGCTAACACACATCGTAATTTGTAATCTCCTTGATATAGTGAAACTGGCTCTCTCTCGCCCGTGGACTAGCTAACACACATCGTGTTAGTGAACCACGTAAATCGTGTGTCTATGTTTTTCAATTCTCGCTTTCGTATTCATGCTTTATCGATTCCGACAATTCCCGATCTGTAGCAGCGCGTTTATAACAGGTGGTATCAGAGCCGCCACTGGAAATCAGGCTAGGGTTTTCGATTCAGAAGAAAGACGTCGGTGAACATGAAGATCGAAAAGTTCACGGGGGAAGAACAGCTTCGCTATATGGCAGATCAAGATGCAGGCTTTATTGATATAACAAGGGCTGTGGGGGCCACTGTCTGCGAAACAGAAGAAGGCAGAGGTCGATGACGATGAGTGGAATACCCTGGAGGAGAAGGCCCACTCGACCATCATGCTATCGTTGTCTGATGACGTCATCATTGAAGTCGCTGCTGAGAAGACTGCCGCGGGGTTGTGGTTGAAACTAGAGAGTCTGTACATGACTAGGTCTCTAACCAACAAGCTGCATCTCAAGCAACGGTTGTTCAGCTTGAGGATGCAAGAAAGTACGCCTTTGAGGGAACATCTCGAACAGCTTAACTCTATTTTGCTGGATATGCTTAATATAGATGTTCAAGTTGATGACCAGGATGCTGCCCTAATCCTGCTGGTTTCTTTGCCGAGTTTATATGAGAATTTCGTTGATTCTTTTATTACCGGTAAAGAAAGTGCGTCGTTGGAGGATGTCAGGTCTACTCTTCATACGAGAGAGATCATGCATAAGGCGTCCGGATCTGATATAGGTGGTGAGGCATCGGGTTTGGCTGTTACAGGTGGAAAGAGAAAGAAGAAATCTGGTAAAGGGAATTCGAACAAGAATTCCAAGGGTCCCGGTCCACAACCAGGTGATGCTTGTCACAACAGTAAGGAAGTGGGGCATTGGAAGTACAACTGTCCCAGGAGAAGAGGGCAATAGAAGAAACAAAGTTCAGTTGCCGTGGCAGAAGTGGACAACAGTTCTGAAGACGATCTCGCCTTGGTTGTAGATGAGAAGACACATCGCGGGGATGTGTGGTTTTTGGACACTGCAGCCTCATATCATATGTCTTCGAACAGGGAATGCTTCACAACCTACGAGCAGATAGATGGTGGTAACGTGGTCATGGCAAATGGGGATGTCTATAAGGTTGTTGGAATCGGGTCCATAAAAGTTCGGGCACATGATGGTTCATTCTGTACCGTGAATGATGTCAGGCATGTTTCACGAATGACAAAGAACATGATCTCTTTGAGTCTACTCAACAGCAAGGGTTTCAGCTTCGAAGGAAAAGGTGGAGTTGTGTATGTCTGCAAAGGTTCAAGGAAGGTGCTGAAGGGCGTGAAGTATGGGACCTTGTATGCATTACAAGGATTTGTGTTGTCTGGTTCTGCTGCAGTTGCATCGTCTCAGGTTCATCAGAAAGATATGACCACTCTCTCGCACATGAGACTGAGGCATATGAGTGAACGAGGGATGCAAGTTCTGTCAAAGACGGATCTTCTTTGCGGGCACATGGTGTAGAATTTGGAATTCTGCGAGCATTGTGTGTTTGGGAAGCTACATCGCAGCAAGTTTCCCAAGAAGGGTATCCATCGGACGAAGGGGATACTGGATTACCTCCACTCCGACTG